TCTCATTTTCATGATTGTATAAAAATATACAATATTTATTTTGAAAATTAAATATAATATTCTATTTTCATGATAGCATACAAATATGCAATATTTATATTAAAAAATTTATGTATTTATGTGAACTTATACAATATTTCAGTTACATGATAGTATTAATTATACAAAATTTATTTATATAAATTGATGTAATATTTCAATTTCGTGAAAGTTTGCATAATATAAATTTTATGAATTTATAAAATATGTTATTTTCATGATAGTACATGTATACACTATACAATATTCATTCATATGAATTTATACAAAATTTTATTTCCATGATAAAATACACTATACAATATTTCCTTCGCATGAATTTATACAATAGTTTTAGTTCGTGATAGTTTGCAATTTATCTATAAGAACTTATACAATATTTTATTTACGTGACATTTTTTTTTACATAATTCTACATTTTATTTTCATAGTATTTGTACATTATTCAATACATTTTCTCTAAGGTATTAACCTTATAAAATTTTCATTTCCAGGTTTGATTTATTTGGATTTCCAATTTAGTATTGTTCATCATGGATATATTCAATTTCAATTTTTAATATATACAATATTTAATTTCCATATTAGTCTATATTATACAATATTTTATTTTAATTGTGTAGTTTACATTATACAATATTTTATTTCCATGGTATTTTACATTATACATAAATTTTATTTTTATGATTAGAAATGTACAATAATGAAATATTTTCACTGTTAAAATAGTGCTCAATACATCAAGTGTAGAGAGATATAGAAATAAAATTCTATTTCTATTTTTATACAGAATATAATTATAGTATAATATTTCTTCGCTTATTTTTCTAACCACACTATACAATATCAAAATTTATTAAATTTGCTCCAAGATGTTACAAACATGTTACAGTTAACATAAGTCAGATTTTTATAACAGATTTGTCAATTTAATTACTAATTCATTTCCACGTATATTAGACCAGTGACAGTGAATCATGACCTTTGAACTAGAGTTTAAGGTCACTTTAGTGATTCATGACTAAGGTATACTCAGACATGTATTGTTTGTCATTGATGTGTTTGCAGACAACCTTTATACAGGCCTGTAGCCAGCCAAGTACTTCTGGGGGTGGGGGCAAACGTCGAATCATGGGGAGCAGTTAAGGTACCCCCACATGACGATGGACTGAACAGTTTGTAGGGTGACTAAGACAGAAGAAACATAGTTTATTGATCAGGCGCAATTATTAACATAATACACGACTTTCATTGTTGTGGAATTTCTATCAAGCTGTACGGATTTGTTAAATCTAACATAATAAATAACATAGAAATTCTTGATAATTAGATTCCGTTCAGGTATTCTTAGAATATCTATAACTTCTCCTTCTGTTTAAAAAGTGGATTTTTCTTGCACAGCATATACATAATTCTTCTTCCAATTTTACCTTGAAAACTATTTCTCAACCAGTTTTCCTGATGATTGATATTTCCTCCGAAACGTGTGCTATAAGCATCGGTCCCTTTTCAACCTAAGGACGTTTCAGTTGAATCTCGTGTAACATAGAAAAATTACATTAACATCTATAGCTGAATAGATGACTAAGAAAAAGTTATTGGTCAGATCGGAAGTAAGCAATCAAACGATTCGTTCAACCGTAGATAAAATCAATATACTTTAATCTTAATTGTTGACACGCGAAAAAAATAAAATGGACACGAGATTTACTTGATGCCTACAATAACTATTAAAGGGAAAGCTTCGTCATCCAATCGTACCTTAGTCTCAGAAACGGGTATTTTTTTTAGCTAAGCTAATCGATAATAGTGTTCACGGCTCGAAATGTGTCCAGAATTATCCGCGTTTAATGTTAAAATGACGAGTCGTCGTATCTTAAGACTCTGCCATATATACAAAATTCGTATATAGAAATATGAAGTGGAATTACTAATTTGTGTATTTTTTTTGAATAAATTATGCGATATTTGTACATTTCTAGTACTAAAGACTATTTACATATTATATTCAAGACCCAAATCAACCACGAAAAAGGCGAATCTATCCCTTTAAAGCACTACCATAACTCACCAAGTAATGAATCTAAAACAAATTCATAAGCAATGAAAGCTAGAAATGAATGAATTTAAAATCAAAAGTGTTGAGAAAATGGAAGGAAATCGTCAAATTTAATGTATTCGGTCATACTACGTGTATAAGTCTGAACTATACGATTGATGAATTCGTATTTTCTAGATATAAATTGAGGTCGTTAATATATATATATATATATATACATAACATAAACTATTATTTGTAAAGAAACGGAATTTATCAGTCATGTATGGCAAGTTTGATAAAGAAAGATTAGATCAGATTCAAGAATATTATCATCTCTCTTTCGAGCGTCAGATTTTAATATTAAATTACACATATATTATATGCACATCATTCAAAAGAAAGAAATTAATTAAATTGAGAAATACCTTGTATTCTGTTAACTCAAATTTTTATTTAAGAAAATATCACTGGAAAAATAAGAAAATTTAAGGATAAAACATCAGACAAATTTGACTAAAAAATAAGAAAATTTAAGTATGAGACATTAGACAAATTTGACTAAAAATAAGAAAATTTAAGGATGATACTAGACAAATTTGACTAAAAATTAAGAAAATTTAAGGATGATACATTAAACAAATGAAGATGTTCTAACATTGATTTCTAAAAGAGATTTTTGTGCCTTTGTTTGGAAACTGAACTATTAAGTGAGAATTTGCTGAATTCAAGTGCACTTGTCTTATTTCCGATGGTGACGATATGGTATTTGGTTAAGTCATTAGAAATTAGCCCTGATTAGAAAAGAGATGTTTATTTTGGGTGTCTACCTGAACACTTAAAGCGATAGATAAGGGGTGATCTCCCGTGGGCAATATTTTATTGTTATCTAGAGCTCATAATTTGATTCGTTTTGTGATGGTTTGATTGATGATCGTTGACTTAATGACATTATTGACAATATTATAACGACTAATGAGAAGCTAAAAAACATATATACTGAAAATATAAGTCTGCCCGTATAAGAAAATGGAAAATATATTGTTATTATGTATTTAAAAATTATGAAGGCTATACTCAAACTAGGAGTTGTCCGTATGATACAATGGAATTTTGTTTTAGTGTCAGTATAGTAATCCATATGAAATTTAGAGTGTATTAAGTGTTAAACTAAATGCAAATTAATGGTCAAAATATATCATTAAAGGCCAGCAAAAAGATGCAGTCGAGAATTTGGACTTTTCTTTATAACAAAATCTAATGAAATATTTTTTGCTGATTTTGGAGTATACTTAATCAAAAATTGGATTTCAATTGTAAATTTTTTTTGCTGAAATCACGTCCCGTGAGAATGCCACAGTTGGCAAACTTCAAATTTCACGAACTTAACGAACTTATATTTTACAATTGATATCTATCTTGTTATAAGGACATAATATTTAATTTCTCTGTATACACTTATAAAGAATGTAAATATATTTACTATTTATATAGTCAGTAAATCTTCTATAAGTGTTAACTGAAATACAATATAGATATCAATTGTAAAATATATTTTTAAAGATTCGGTAAATCATCTATAAGTGTATATTGAAACACAATATAGATATCAATTGTAAAATATATTTTTAGGGTTAGTGAATCATACTGGAATATCAAATATGTCCTTGAAAATAGATATCAAATGCAAAATATATTTTGAAGAGCCTGTCAAGTCATGGATATAAATACATGAAAAATATACTTTTTAGAGAGTTAGTATAAAACAGTTAAAAATAGAAATATTTGTTTGACGAAAAGATTTGATTAATCGCTACGATTATCGAAAGAAAGGTTATAAACCACATAAATATTGATCCATGTTGGTAAATTGAAATAATTGTTTAAAATAAAACACCACGAGCCTTATCAAATCAAATATGTTAAAGTTTAATCTCTTAACACAAATTACATGTGTTGCAGCATTGATAATAATGTGTGAAATTGATTATGTCATTAAACCCATGTAATAGTCTTCAATTACAAAAGATGATCACTGAATGCATTTCTTCAGAATTCATCGTTCGTACGTAATTGTGAAGATTTTATTGTATGGATGTCCACTGAATGCCTCGAGCGTTATAATATTATGTAAGCAATTACAACAAAAGTGGCCATAAACTTTGCCTCACCTTAATTCCCCTTTGAAAGGAAGTGGTAAGTTAGGCCTTGGGTTAATACAAACATTATTTATTTAATGTAATTGTCTCATATAAGATTGAAGACCACTAGCTGTGTGTCTATATTACAAGTGACATAATGGTAGTTAATCAGGGGTCGATTACTAGACGTTATCTATTAATGATCTAAACTGATGATAACACGAACTTGTTACTTAGAAATCAATGTATCTCTACCAGTCAATATCAGATGAATAAAATTTTTAGATGAATGAAGCCGCATACAAACTACTAAAATCCATTGATATCAATAGGCAAACTTGCATTTTTTTTTATAAAAAGTATATCACTGCCGCACATATCTCATTTCTTTAATAAAAAGATATATAATATAAGAGTAGAGTACAAGCTTCAAATTAAAGGGCAGACACATTTTTAGCTGATGAAAAAGTTCTCGAATTAAAATAAAACTAATACTATACCAAAATCTAGTGAAATATGTTTCTTACATTGTCTAAAAATTTAACTGAAAATATCTTGCTGTTAATTTCTAGAACGCCAAAACTAATATACAGAGTAATGTGTCCTTCTTATTCCGAGAGTTTGATTAAAATAGAGATTCTCAGTTTTACACACTGCACCTTTAACTATGCTCTTTTCTTATCAGATTATCATATCAATATTCGGGGAAACATGATATACATCGACACAATCACTAAAAATAAGTAGTGAGTTTCCTGCGAAGTGGATAGTTCAGTATCAAAATGTTGTTCTCTCTTTTCCTCTTTATTCTGTATTGTGTGGGTGTATCATGTCATCTGACGATCTGTACTCAAATAAATTCCTGTTCGTGTATCACAAATTCAAATGAAACCATCGACTTATCTCCCTTAGCATTATCAGGAGGTGATGCAAGGTGAGTACGATATTATCATTATACAGTTCCTGCTTATGAATCCAATCCCGCCCCCAACAGGAAAAGAACGTTTTTGTTATGTTTATATGGATCATAACCTCTCCAACCACTGTCTCCATGTGAAACAATCTTACCCGCCTTACTACATATACCAGAGTTGAGGAAATTGCTTACTTTTTTCTAGTCCGACACATCTGCCTCTATTCCAGCCTCGGGTGGATATTTTGACAATTGTCGGATGGAGTACAGTCAGAAAAATAGGCCGCAGATGCATTTTTATAACATAACGCTAAATTTTCTTTAAAACTTTCGTTTTATTAGTATCACGTCTTTGAACTTTTGGCTGCGCACACAGTTTTAAATGATTCGAGATCAGTTTCGTTAAAAAAACTTTGACTTAACCGGAGACGTACATAAACGGTATACGAAGAAAATGATGGTATGAATATGTATCTGGGTTTTGTAGAGGTATCTAAATAGGTTGAGAACCCTCGCACCTGTGCAGATTAGGAAAGCGCCCATTTAACAGGGCCTATTTTTTCTGTCTCTTCATCAGCTTTCAGAGGCTGGAATAGAGACATCATATGTTTCGGTCTCACTTTCATCCAAATGATCTTTATTTCGACTTTTCTTGAAAGGCAATGAAATGCAATTATGCTTGATGAGCCATTATTGAAAGAAAAACACATGACATGGCGTGGTGTTATATGTTTAAACAAACACAATAAATTCCACTACATCATTAAATCAATAATTTCATTACATTCATTTGATGGCTGCAAATGTCGACCACGAATTCTGACCTTGATTTGAAGGGACATAAGGTCTCAAGTCAGCAAGTCCATGAATATATTTGTGGAAGTTATCCCCAAGTGATCCACTGTACAAACAGGAAATCTTGATCCATAAAATTGAGAAAACTGACACAACTACTACAATCTACACGAACCCGATAAAAAACAGAAAGAAACCAAACACAGCAAGAATATGAAAAACAGGATTGGAAAGGGAGGTGTTAATTATAGTTATCCAAGATATCAACTTCAATGCTTAAAATCTTATAGAACTATAGAAATTTGCCCTTATTAAAAGAAATTATAAAAATTTTCAATTGTGGCTGTCTTATGTAATATATATATATATATATATATATATATATATATATAAAAAGAACGTGAAATTTTTTTCGTTTTGTTCTTGTCAGTTCTTGAGCTTTCGTAACTAAGTACATGTACAGGATAGTAAGCTGTTTTCCTGGTGGCAATGAGATTGTAATCTCATCAAGTTATTGTAAAGTAAGTTATAGTAAACAGTCTCCCTAGACTGAGGGTAGACATAGGGAACAGATTGACTCCATGGGGGGACAACTTGTACCCTTGTACCTACACTAGCGCCGTCACTAGTAAACAGTTATGGGTGTTTCTCAATGTAAAACCTTTAAATCCCTTTTTTCCTGTTGAACACTAAACAAAACATTGTAGGGGTTTCATGACATACTTATCTATCGTTTTTTTATTTTTCATGTTTTTACTGGTAGATTCAAAGACCAACAAGATAGCTCTGGATCATACTACTATTCATGGAATCCGTGTTATCCTTTCACAGAAGACCCAACTGCGTGTGCTGGTGTAATGGTAATTTCTCATAGGTTATTAATCGAGCATATCTCATCTTGTCTTTTAATTTGGTGGCACAGGACTTGCAAATAATGATGTTTACAGAAAAATATGACGAAATATCCAATCATTTATTACTTCCTCCTAGAATGGACATCAAAAAGTTAAAGCCTTTTTACAACTTTTTTTTTTCAAATGCGCCTATCTTTAGATGTTTCGATTTATTCTTTTAAGGGTTGTCAGACGGATATGACGAATTATTTTAATCTAGGAACGCCAGACAGTGCTAAATTTATCACTGATACATCCAAAGGTTTAATTCTTCAATATTCAGCCACAACTGATGCAGCACGGTAAATACTGTTGAAAATTAAATAATGCGTTATGGCCGAAGTTTCAAAAATAACATATTATTTATTGCTGTCTCATCTGTTAAATCCTTGTTTCAAATGTTATATTTGCAACATAATATATAATTTTGTTCACAAAATAACAAAAGAAAACCTGCCTGTTCAAGGCTCAATGCTTTCTAGTTTTGAGGATCTTTTTTCAGAATGGCTTCAAACCCCTCGTAGTTAAACGCATTCCTTTGTAGTTTTAAAGCAGACTACGTTTTAGAAAAGGGAGTATCAAGTGAACGTCATCCATTTGGGACTATATGGTCATTTGAAAGCTAAACCGTTGTCGACCGTTCTAGAAACGTATTGTCCTTGCGAACCGTTTTGAACAAAACACACAAAATAAATTGTTTTATGATGTTTCACTACTATTGTGTTAATCTGCTTATCCCTGGATACGATACACCGTATGTATTATTTACATTAATATTTTTAAAATTGTATTTAGAACTTTAGATGTTATACTGGTATGTGATGAAGATACCGAAGCGTCATTATCAGTAGCGGGAGAAAATCCACCCGGAAGTGCAACATATGTAAGATATACGATTATTTTTATACGTTCACAGATTACCATCGAAATTTGAGCCTGCAAATCCATGTTTGTTCAAAATTATCTGCGTTTGAAAGTTAAAATGACTACGCGTTAATTCAAGATACTCTGTGGTATATAGAAAAGACATATATAGAAATTGTGAGAAAAATTCCTAGTTTGAAGTATAGTTTTAAAGGTATTATATGATTGTCGTACATTTCTTGTGCTTCTGAAGACTATTTACATTATATTCAAGACTAAAATCAACCCCCAAAATGGCACATTCGTCCCTTTAATATGTATCAATTATCCCTTTGTTTGTTCATTGACATAGACTTTTCATGTTTCAGTGAAAAAAATCTTACGAAGTTGTTAGTGCATTTAATTATTTTTTTATTATTCGCTTCTGTATTTAATCTGGGCGTGTGACCAAAATAGGGAGTTCGGGAAAACACCTTCAAAAGCGGATATTACTAAGCACGGGGCTAGATTCATGGAGTCTTCAACGTAGTTTATTTAAAAAATCTAAAGAATTTTAATCGATCAACTCTAAATTGATGTCATAAGTGGTAGTTATGACCAAAAACCGTTTTTTAAATATAGAATTAGATGCTTTTTGAACCCTCTACCTGTAATAGTGTTCGAAATATTATTACGAATATGAAAAGTTCCTATGTGAAGTGTCCATTCATTGACAATGTAAAAAGCCTTTTGGTAGATAGGGCTTTTTGCTCTTTTCCTTACGATTACGGTCTTCGGCTTAGTAAATAGAAATATTACAAGTAATATGATAAAAAGAGAAATTTCGTATAGGCTATAGTAATAAATATATATTTCATAAACAATAGCCTACAATTAATTATTTTCACTGTTAAAATAGTGCTCAATACAACTGTAGAGCGATATCAAAATATTAAAACAGAACCTAAAAAAACATGTTTACACGCTATGCGATCTTTTTTAGGTTCTGTTTTAATATTTCTATTTCCTAAACAGTAGTTATTGTAAGATAATATAATTAATGTAAAACCCACATGGATGGTCGTTTTCAGGAAATGACGCTCACGAGTAAACACTGTTGTCTTAGAGCACCTACAACCCCACTACCAACAACTACAACAACGACTAGTTCACCACACCCAACAACCATACAGCCATGTCCAGCTCCATTCGGTTATGATACCATTATTTGGATACAAATTGCTATATTGTAAGTTTACAAATATTATATATATACCGTATAATAATTACGCACTACACAGACCAACTCTAAAAGTTATTAAAAGTCCAGAAACACTACTGGGTGTGTGGACCAGTGTGGTCAGGAATCTTCCGGAACACCTGATGCCACTGTCCGACTAGGTTTGTTTTAAGGAAGCACAACATTACAATTCAATTATCATATAATTTAATGTTCGTATTAGTATATCTATAATATGTCTTGTCTATTGTTTTATTAAATATTGCGGTCTATTTCGTGTTGAACTCACCAATAGAGCCCCCTACTTATTCAAGTAATTGTTGCCTTCGGCGGATTACCTATTCAAAGGATTATAATTTCTATTTCAGGATTGCGATCCTGTTATTAATGGCACTATGCTGCATTATAATATATTTATTGGTTTCCAAGAAATCTACCAGTTCTTACAAATCTTTTAAATAATTGAAACATGGATTGAACTACTGCCTGTAATTCTTTCATGTCATGTCTATCATGTAACAAATATTTTCCATTGGCTTATAATGTCTTTGGGTCCATAGTAATATATAAGTTTTGATCGCCTTACAAATGAATAAATATCGAAATATTTCGAGTTGATAATGTACTCCAAGTAATAATATTTCCATTTTTAGGGGGGCTCAAACAAAAGTGAATCAACAGTCACTTAAGACGTCTAATTTTTTAGCGGGGGCCAAAATTTTCTTAGGGGGGCGGGGGGGGGGGGGGGGGCTGGCTCCTCTAGCTACGGGCCTGGGTCACTGCCTGTTTAAAATTAAGGCTTAGTATCAGTCAACGCCTTTTAAAAATTCAATTGAATGAAGTCACATGAACACTACGTGTGGATACCCAAAGTTACATATATTATAATAACTTGCGCCATTTTGATACATATCTCATGATCATGCATATAAATATAGTAATATGAGAGCACAGTTAACGGACTATGCACTTTTCTTATCAGATTATATCATACTAATATTCAAAACAATCTAGAAATATACGTGATGATGTTGGTAGTTTTTTGGATATTTCAGTATAAAAATGTTGTTCTCTCTTTTGCTGTACATTCTGTGTTGTACGAGTGTTTCGTGTAAACTAATTGGTGATTGTATTAAGATAAATTCTTGTTCGTGTATCACAAATTCAAGCGAAATTATCGACTTATCTCCCTTAGCATTATCAGACGGTGAACCAAGGTAAGTACGATATTATTGGTGTTTTACACAGTTGAAACAGTTTTTTTAATTCTTTTATTGTAATGTTTTTATGGAACATAACCTCCCGCTTTATTGTGCATTCCGACCACTTTCTCCTTGTCAGCCAATCTAACCCGCTTCTCGAGAGGAAATTGCCTACTTTTATCCAAATGATCCTCATTTCTACATTTCCAGTCTAAAGAAATTAGACCAAACTTTTTTTCCGTTTTTATTAGCTTTCATTTTTTTATATAGACACTTCATTTAGAGTGAAAAGAAGGCCTTCTTGAACATTCGTCTATTGAAAACACCACCACCCAATCAAATTCCTGCCCTCACAAACGCTGGATATTTGTTACACGACCAAAATGTGCATTCAGAGTCTGATGCTTACAGTTTTGAATGTTTCTTGATACACATGTAAAGACTACAAAACCTGTTGGTATCCTTATTGACCACTAAACAGTGGTTTTCTGAAATTCCCAATTAATTAGGCTTACTATTATTTTCATACACCTGCCATTAGGTTCAAGGACCAACAAGATTCCAATGGTGACTTCTACCATTATTCATGGAATCCATGTTATCCTTTTACAGAAGGCCCAACTGGTTGTGCTGGTGTTTCGGTAATCATTTTTTCTAAGATTGGGACACATTAAAGCGCGTCTGTAGGCATAATGCAGTCTGTACTATGAGATGTGTCAAAGAAAATAAACTTTGTTTCAAATGGTACCAATAATGTTTGATTTAGCAAACATTTTTAAGTCCCTTTTGACGGACCAGTGTGATGTATGAATTACTTCGAAATGCACTGTGTGTGGTACCAATCTATGTTTTATATAGCATATTTTTACCTCCGGTATTCACAGGAACCTAGCTGGGGGACCCCGGTAGACGTTCAAATACTTATGCGCCCTATCATTCCGATGGTGTTATAATACGAAAGATATTGTAAAATCAAAATTCGTTTCATGTAATTTCTTCATTTTATTATTTTCAGGACTTAACAACTAGACAAGATAAAAAAAAATTGCCAACTGTTTATATAGCTAACAAAATATGAGCAAATTTAAGAATATCATCGAATTCAGTTTCTCTATATTTTGTCGTCCCTGACAGACTCTTCTCATTGACATTAAATTTTATTAACGTTCTTGACACATTGAACAAATTGTCTTTGCTGTGGGGCGTGTCAACACACGGATGTTTCTTTTGGATAGTTGAAATCGATATCAATGGATTCTTTTCATTTTATCAATATCGAAATTTCACTTAATGACGAATTCGATATTTTAATGATTCTTAGAACCCGGTGGGTAACCGCTTATGGCCCCAATCACTTCCAAGTTTTCCGATTATTCATCATTTAAACATTCTACCAAATTATTTTATTTTGTTGTAAGGCACATAAACTTGCCATCTTGCCAAATAGCCTTGATTAAAAATTCAGTTATCACATGAATCTTAATTTTTTTCACTCAAAGACATCTAGGGTAAGGTGAAAATAGGCTGACCGCAAAAATAAAAAAAACATAACTATTTCTTGTATTTAAGTAAAATATGCGTTTATGGATATATCTTTCGCTCATGCTTCTATGTAATAAAATATTTGCCAACCACATTCTTAAATTTCATGCTTCTTTTTTAGGGTTGTCAGACAGATAAGAAAGCGTATTTTAATCTGGGAACCCAAGATAGTGCTAAATTTTACTATAACCAATTGAATGTAATTCTACATTACTCAGCCACAGTTGATGTCGAACGGTAAATGCTGTTAAATAGACATACATGGGTTTTCGCTGAAAATGTATAAAAAATAATATGGCGGTCTGAATCTTGGAAACCATTATCGTGATATTTGGCACAAATTGTTAGTCAAAATCCATCAAGAATGTTTTAATGCTAAAACTGTAAAGAGGGCAAATCAAGGGCAATAAATCTATTAAATATATCATTATTTTCGATAGGGTTCACACTTTAAACCATTTCTCCAAAGTTTGTCAAAATCCACCCAGAACTGTGCCTTTTAGAGTGTTAACTAGCTAGAAATTAGACTCGTTTCGAAGATCAAGGGCAATTTTAACATTTTAGAAGTATGTTTATTTTCGATAACTACGGTTCATCCTTGGGTGTTGATAAACAACCTCACCAAATTTCGTCAAAATCTATCAAGAGATAAGCATTGTGGCTTCTACAGTTGTGGATGCCGGACCGAAAGTTAGGCCCACTTGCCGTTTTTTATCCTAAAAATTGTCCAGGACTCTTTTTTGCGAAAAGATGAAAAGGGTATCCTCTTCACTTGCACATGCGCACAGGCATTAATGACAGACGACAATAGAGCCTAGTTCGAAGATCAATAGACCAAGCGGAAGCCTGAAAATTTACAACATTCTTGAAGGTGTCTATTATAAAATGCAGGGCTAATTAAATTGCGATGAAGCCTTGTCCAAAAGGTACATTGATTGTTGAGGCCAAATATAGCCTAGGATGATGGTGATGTAAAGGTGAACTTCTATCCTTCTAGTCTACACTCGATCAGACTTGGTTAAACAGATCCATGAACTTTTTTTGTGCCAAATCTTCTTGATGACATTTGGATTGATCATTGACGACAACTCAAGGTAATGTAAATGCAGTTTTATTATTTATATCTTGGCTCCATGCTCCAACGATTATAGTTTTTGGACGGGAGTGCTTGACACTATAGGTCTAGAGGGAATAGGCAATTATATATTAGATGTGGTTGAAATTAGATTTTGTAGAAAAAGAGAATTCACAAATGGTCAAATGTCTCTCAGTGTTCAAAAAATGATCTTTTGAATTGATGTCAGTAGTCAGGATATTCCTTGGTATTAATCAAATATGTAGACAGTAGTAGGTATACTTGGTATATGACCTTCATTTGTATAGAAGTGATTACCTCCTTATGAATATTAGCCTTATACAGCATAAATATTTTCAAAACATACCAACCACTTATTAAACTTCTCTGTCCCAAGACTTCAGACATTGTCCATTCATATAGTGCCTAGTTGGACTTATTGAAGATTAACAGATACTTAAGTAATTCTTGCAAGGCCTGTGAAGTCATCACTGAAAAAATAGAAATCTTGTCCATAATATGGCCAAATTGGGAGTAATGTATGGTATTCTCAGAGACCCGCCACTACTATAATGGTCCAAATCATGAGAGACAACCAGATATTGGCTATTTTGCGGCATAAATAAAACTAGCAGCTTTTTGTATAAATTTTAATATGAAAAATAGATATCTCTTATCTACTATGACATAAAGTGAATACCATACCTACTTTAATAAATAAAATTATAAATAATAAGTATTGTAATGTTATATCTATTATCTAACAAATATCATCTTGCTTGGCAAGACAAAAGACAAAAATATACAACCAAATAGCAGATTTTATATAGTAACAATATATTTTAATAAAGTACTAATTGACAATTAAAAATAAATCACAATACTAAATAGATGATCTCAAAATCTGATCCTGGAATATTACATTTTACTTAGAAAACTCACAAAGTGCGTTGAAATTATGTTCACAAAACGACTTCAAAAATTGTTAAACTAAACATTATCTTTAAATCAAAACTAAAATGGGTGGGTCTCTTCAACAAACGTGAGACATTGCCTATATTGAATGTTTTGTAAGTTTGGAGCTAAGTACAAAAAGGTGACTTATATTTCGCATAAAAATCCCAGTAATCCAAAAAATTAGGTGTATTGTTTGAGCTTGATTTTCAAAATAATCAGTGTTGGCTTTAAAAGTGATTACTGACAGATCCAAAGTCAAAAGATAGATATCATAATTAACTAACTATTGGACCACAGCAAGAATTCATAATGTCAATTTTAAGCCTTTCTCACAAAAAAAGCAGAATTCTATACTGGAGACAGAACAAGGATGAACACAATAGATACATTAAGATAATTGAGAAAAAATTGAGAAAGAGCAATGAAATGATTGCCTTTTATTTCAAAATTCTCTGAATGTATTATTTCAATTAATCAAATAGTTTGCAGTGATGTTTTGACCTTGATGACATCACACAATAATTCACATTATCCTTTATATAACATGTCTGAATGAGGTGTTTTTGATATATTTAATAAAAGTACATGTTCTATAAAAGTATTAATTTTCATAACATTTAATAATATACAAAATCTATATATAAAACTATACAAAAAGGCACTTTTCATTCGATAACAGTATATTCCCTGCAGCAATTGCAGCAACAGAAGTGTGTTATATTCCATAATATTGTCTTGTGTTTTGTTATACGTGCTCCTCGCTTCTATATGTCGTTCAAATCTTACATCAAAAATAATTTAACAGGATTCAAAATAAATCAGAAAACGGTTCATGGAAAGTTATTTCATAAATAATTTTATGATATGAAGATAGTTACTTTGTAAATTGCTATGTGTTAGTTAACCAGTCAATATATTTATGCAGATCTACAGATGATTCAAAACATGAACAATTTGAATCATCTCAATGTGGCACAAATGCACTGTATGACTTAAAGCCAGCTAGGTAATATTGCTTATAGTAAAAACAGAATATCATAATTTGTACATTGAAAACTGAACATCAGATGCTGATGAACAATTTGGCTTAGGTGGGAACTTGAATGAGATAACTAATGTGGCATCAAATTTAGTTCCCTGAGGGTGTTTCATAAGACAAACAATTTGGTAATAAAGTCTTTTTAGAAACTGTGCCCAGCCAATTATGTAATTATCCTTTGGTCTTTTTGGCATTCAATTTGATTAAAGTTACCTTTTGAAAATGACAGTTTTCAAATATTATGAGAGAAGTAATTGATATCAAAAGCTGATATTCACAAAAGAAAACAAATATTCACAACTCATGCATTTTGAATGCATATAAATTAACAAAGTTTACAATATGATAACAATTATGTGATTAAAACATGGATATATCACTGTTGGATATAAGCATTATAAAATAATAATATAAATATAATAATAATAATGAAAAATATATACATTCTTTGATAGACAAGTAGAGAAATAATAGTGTATAATAAAATTGTAAGTTAAAAGTAGGTTAAAAAATATATTTGAACAACTTTTTAAACTTTATGCTTTTTAAGTAGATCAAGAGGAAGTGAAAATGTTTTTTAATGGTTGAATTATGATTTCAAAAGATACCTTAGTGTCATGGTTTCAAAGCTTGAATCAGAAAATTCATATTTAACTTGGATTGGATGGTTCAAAAAAACAACCATAAAACTTTTATAAATGACTCAAGATTGATATTGGACATATATAATGCCAATATTGATTTAGTCAAATGTGGATTTATGAATTTTATAGTTTCGTGTAGATTTTTATCATGTGATTCTAATTTGGTTAATTTTCCTTTCTCAACTACTGCATAAAAGACATTGTAACCTCCAGTTAAAGGTATTGTAACTTATAATAAAAGTATCGTCTTGTACAGTTATCATGTATTAAAAAGCATATAAAAACAGAATTAAATTTGATTGAAGAAAGCACTATATGAATTGTTCACCCTATAAAGAACCTACTTTAGTTTGAGTGTAAAATGGAAAGGGATACAACCAGTTCAGTCATCGCTGTTGATTTGTTGGCAATAAAACCTTTTCTTCCATAATTTGTCTTATTTCACAATCTTAGCCTGTCATCCACTGTTGTTGGACTTAAAGTTTTAAAGGTGATATCTTCATCAACCTGATAGGAACCTGTGATTGTTCTTCCAAACCTGTTGGTTGTAATAGTCTCCCTACTGAATATGGAGGCAGGCACAAAACAGGATTGACCAAGACATATTGTGGCAGAATCACAAGAATTTGTAAGGCGCTACAATCATTATTTGGAAGGAATTGATTATTTCATTGCTTTGGTGGTTTTTATTAGATTTCTCTATAGTTAATAAGGTGCAATTGTACCTAGACATCTATCAAAAGAAATGAATAATTTCAAAATCCCACTGCTCATCATATTTAAGACTATTGAAAGCAGTAAAATTCATGATGAGTAAGATCATTCAAATTTTTTTATGACAACATTTTGCCATTAATTATGGTTTTCTTGAAATTTTCACTGCGCCACTTCTACAGACGATTTACATTCTTTTTTCTAAATAGTCAAATGACGACATCTAACAGCTGTTAGTATCAGAAAGGATCACCATGAAGCTGTTTATGAAAGGCACCTTCAAACATCGACCATTTAGTTAGATTTCTCTATAGTTAATAAGGTGCAATTGTACCTAGACATCTATCAAAAGAAATGAATAATTTCAAAATCCCACTGCTCATCATATTTAAGACTATTGAAAGCAGTAAAATTCATGATGAGTAAGATCATTCAAATTTTTTTATGACAACATTTTGCCATTAATTATGGTTTTCTTGAAATTTTCACTGCGCCACTTCTACAGACGATTTACATTCTTTTTTCTAAATAGTCAAATGACGACATCTAACAGCTGTTAGTATCAGAAAGGATCACCATGAAGCTGTTTATGAAAGGCACCTTCAAACATCGACCATTTTAGTTAGCAAGACAGTCCTTTATTTAACACTGTGAATGATTTGTTGACTTACCAAAACCTTCGTTGGAATAACCAGTATTCTCAAAGATAGCAGTGTCATTATCTTGTAACCTTTTCTTCCTTCGATTTATGATTTCTTTGATTGTTTC